GGAATACAGCCTTTGCTTCTCCAGATTGAGAAGTCACAGCTGCGATGGCTTGGGCATGTGTTGCGAACGCTTCCAGAAAGGAAGGCTAAGCAACTGTTCCATGCAAATCCGACTGGCAAAAGGCTCAGGGGACGGCTAAGATTAACCTGGTGCAAACATATGGAAGGAATCTGTTCCAGACTCCATTTGTCTTTTGCCGAAGTTCAGATTCTGGCACAGGATCGGGAACGTTGGAAGCTCTGTCTGAAGTGTCTGCCTCCGCGACCTGAAAGGAGAAGCGGCGATGGAAGATGAAGATGAAGAAGATGGAACTAATCCACTTCACTATAAGTGAGTTAAGGAAAACACGAGATTACTTTAGTGTCGCTAAAGCTAGCATGGATCATGAGTTTATAACATTTTAAAATGGTCGAAATCGCGGCATTTTAGTGAACTGAACTGTACCATGGCCCATTTGATTGAATCGTCAGGTTGGAAGAAGTCTATAATATTTGTTCTGTGAAAGGTTAAATCAGACGACGAGTACGTGGTGTAAAGTAAACGCCCTAGAATTATGTTCTGCTGCATTCAAGTTGTACGGTCGCTTCTGGTTCGCTTATTTGACACAGGAGACAGAATGTTCCTGTCGTCTTGGATTGAAGCAGACATACATACCACAGAATAATAATCAATCAAGGAATAACAGACTAAGATATCGAAAATTCGACCATTTTGAGGATTGTGGAGGAGTTTCGCTGTTACTGTAGAAGAACAATGTTAATTTACAAAAATGACTTTCGTTCTGGCTGGCATACGTTTCCTACGCCATAGTTTGTCCATGGTTTCTTACGCTGACACGTGGCATGACGTCATTATGCAGTGAAAGTTGGCATTGATGTTCAGGCGCCGACAAGGCTTCTGAAACGGAGTGTCTTCAATGTTGTTCCGGTACGTCGGCAGATTTCAACTGGTCAACGTGACTTGTCCAGTGACCAATCACGGGTCCGTCCGTAACCTTGTCCATAACCGCTGTGTCACCTGCAAATCCGTCAAGGTGCCTGCAATTACCACTTCTATAATCGTTTGGCTCGCGCAATCTGACATCGTTCTCGTCGGCATTGTTCGGGGACGGACGGAAAAAGCATTTAATGTAGCCTCAAAGAAGTCGTTTTTTACATGTCATCGAAAATTTACCGTCGTCGAGGCTGAGATTCGCCTCGCATCGCGTCTGCTCATCCGGAGCTTTGACTACCGGCCGTGGTGTTTTGGTCGTCGTCATCGTCGTCGTCGTCGTTATTCGAGGTTATACGTGATTTTTATGCGAAAGTTTGACTTTTTGTTTGTTTCGAGACTGGTTTCGTGTCCTACGGCAAGAAGTCGTTTCCCTCTTCGTGACTCATTCAGTTGTTTTTTTACCGTCGTCGTTGTCGCCAGAGCCGTTGTTGTCGATGTTTGTCGCCGGCCGGCAAGTCGATGGACGGACGGACGACGTCGGCGTTGGCAATTGTGAAGCAGATTTTGTCTGTCTGTTCGTCTGTCTATCTGTCCTGTTGTGTCGCCAGCGCTTGTGAACTCACTGCCTCGCTCTCTGTCACGATGTCGTCGAAGATTGCCATTCAATGCAATCAGTCGAAGTGGATGGTTTGCCGGCCACTTCCGCGTTTCGGTGTCTCCTACGACGGTTTCCTATGCTCGCCGGAGCCGAAGTTTCCTCACGTTTCTGTTTTTTGGAGGCCTTTGCAACCGACTCATTGTTTCCTTCCTGTAAAACGTGACTTCCATTTTTTTTATAAAATCCGCCATTCGTCAGCATTTTGACTCTTTCTGCGGTAGGCGTTGCTTTTAAAAAGTTATGATTACTTTGCAAACGAAGGAAGCAGGTGCGCATTTGTTGACTGACCGCATTTTCGTCTGATTTTTGCACCGTAAGATTTTTCTCTTGGTTTCTGACGTGTACCGATGGTTACATTCGCATAGTAGAATGTCCATCGTTCGAAAGGAATCCTTTTCATTTGATGCATTTTGTTTTGTCTAAATTATATGTGTGTTTTTACGTTTGAAAAAATGACAGCTATGTTATACCACTGTTGCCGTGGGGGAAATACTTTCCGATACGAGTCGTTACAGCACCACTTAGCCGCCTCTTGCTCTAGGGTCATGAGAGAGTCATTTAAGTAGTTCAGTTGTTCATGGTCTTTGACTACTTCCAGTACATTGGTGCATAGCAGCATCAAGTAGCTCAAATACTATATGGTTGGAGCAGCAACTGAAGTTTTGCTGATTCATGCCTTGTTATGTACATTTTTTAATAAAAATATTTTTAAACTTTTAGGAAGGTTGCCGTTTCAGCGTCGAGACTGATGTCATGTTCCGGCAAAAGAGTTGACGGTACAAATATGCAAGATTCTGTCAGCGTTACTGTTCCAATTATGTCAGGTGGCATGATTGAAGTTATTTTCATCCATGTCTTGATCTAATCCATCGGACAGCATCAGGGCCTTCTGCTCATCCTGTCTATGAGTCGTCATTCTTCGTCAAGAGAGAGTATACGTCGCACGTTCTTCTTCTGTCGTATGACGATCGTTGGGTGAATGACATTAGCTGTTTAGCACGAAACAGGGAAATTGCGCGAAAGTTGTAATTATCCCTCTAGAAAGCTTTCAGCCTGCTTCCTTCAGCGATTAAGACTATTCCGTTTAATGGACCATGCTGGCTGGAGCTTGCACTGTTCCACTGCGCTTGAATTTTAAGCAAAGTTAACGCATTTACATCCTTTTCGTTTTTCATGCCATGACATTTTGTTTTTTCAACGTATTTTTATTTCTACCGAAGTTTTTACTGAGCTTCTGTTCAGTTCACGTTTTATACTATTACCTCCGCCTCTCATTCGTAAGCTCGGCGTTTTAGGGCCGCTTAGATTATGCTTACTGGGACAAACGCTCATGCCAGATTCCATTTCGTTGCCCAACTCTGACACCCGAGATCTGATGCTAGTAGGCATCATCGGATACAGTAGGAACACGTAAATCGAGAGGAGCTTTACTATGGTAGCCGGGTCATCTTTCGTTAGTCCACTCCATGGTATCGAGTTTTTGCCTACGCCTACTCGAGAAGCATCGCCCTACCGTACGTTTGCAGTCATAAACGACCTAGTTTAACCTGATCTGTTAGTAGTTTTGTAACCAGATCGATGACTTGGTTCATCATAGGAACTGAAGACAGAAATTTTCAATCCTCACCATGGATTTTTTCTTGGTAAAGTAATTTTCGAATTAAAATTTGACCTTAATTTTTGATTTATAGGCTGACTT